ATTTTTTATGTTAATTAATACATTTATACATAATATATATATACATACATATTACAAAAAAAATAACAGGGGCCCGTGCCCCTACGGGCCCCTGTGTAAATCCGCCAATGGTTTATGTGGCATACACACATTGGTCGTGTATTTTTTTGAACACAAATTTTTGTTCATTTGTTTGAACCAAAGAATACGAGCTCAAAATAAGCAAGAAAAAAGAAGGTTCAAGAATCAATTTTCTCATGCTACTCCATAAGTTACCATTCAGATTTACAGCAAAACAGAATCACATAAATCTAAACGAATCTTCCAAATTGTGAATAAGAGCTATTAATTTATACTTCTACTACAAAGCCATATATACTTAAATAGTAACAATGGCACATACAATTCTTCGATTCCACTTAGACGAGCTTAACAAGCAATAACGCGAGCGGCAAAAAGAACGAAGCCCTTCTTCTTTCTTCCAAAGAAAACACAAGGATTTTACACGTTCTCGCATTACACGGAAGGGAAATATTTGTTGAGATTAAAGGGAAGAGAGTAGAATTCCTCACTCCTCGTGTCAGTTTTGAACGAGCGAAACTTATCCCACCAGTGCTTGCCCCTATCTTTCCTTATCTGACCATCCTTTTTGTGCATTGTGTTGTCCAAGAAAAATGCCACTATAGCCGCAACAAAAGCCTCCGATGAAAACGGGACGTTGATGATGTCGTTAAACTGTGAAAATAAACAAGGGAATTTAATTAGTTTCGAAAGAAGACTTGAGTTTTTTTTTTTTTTTTTCCATACTAGGAAATTTTAATTATCCATTATAACATTTAGAGATGGGTTTATATTTGAGTACCCATCTGCCGGACGTGTGGACAGGCCCATATCCTTGAATAGCTGTGTACTCGTTGAAGTATTGGGGCACGGACAAGCCCAAGAAAATCGAAAAGCCCAATATGAACTTGGTTCGGAAGCTGTTCAGGTTGCAGAATTGAAGAAAACTCAAGCCCGAAGCACCTGAATTACTCGGAATTCAAAATGTGGTTCGGGTCAGCTATCATGCGAAAAGAATGTAAAAATTGTTAACTCATACATTTTTTTTTTTAACTGTTTCAAGTCAGATTTTTACATACCAACATATGCAAAGAAGAGGCAATACAAAGCGCCAAAAATCGGTGCTGGAATTGAAGCAAAGACAGCACCGAATTTCCCTGTAAACATATTTGTTGATATTCATGTAAGAAAAAAAAAAAATAAATCAATTTATAAAGAACAATTTTAAATATATGAGGGGGAAAATTTACCGAGAACAGAAAAGAAAAGCATGAATCCGGCAGATATTTGCACGACTCTTCGACTGCCAACACGGGTCAGTGCCAAAAGGCCAGCATTTTCACTACATTAGAGTAAATAAAGAAAAGTAATGTGTCATATAATAAATAAATAAAAATCTAAAAAATAAAAATAAAAAAAATGCACGAACTGATTACTAAGGTCTTACATGGATACGGATGATCCATTAGCTGTCCCGAACAAACCCGACAAAAGGATAGCAATACCCTGGTGTGTATATATGTCCAAAAATATAAGAAAATTCATCTCTACAATATCACTAGCAAAGTAACTTTAATTTGAGAAGTTATTTGGCCAATTATTTGGAAATTATGCATTTGCTCTTGAATCAACCAATTCTCTTGGAAGTTTTGAAAATAATATTAATTAAATTTGACGAGTTAATTTGCTACTTGTTAACTTATGAACTCGGTTTAAATTACCTGCCAGCCTATACCACGGCTCAGAATAGATGGGGGCAATGGGGTTGCACTAGCATATCGGGACACAGCAATAAAGCCACCAGTTGACTGAATTCAACATCAAGGCCACAAAAAATTAGTTTAATTTAAAAAATATTTTTTTATATATTATAACTTCAATATGGATAAGAATTTTCAAAAACATGAGCTGCAGCAAATGGCTTAATGAATTGGAAATTTTTGTGTGAAACGGTCACAGACAATATGAGAAACAAATCAAATAATCCAATGTTTTTTTGCTCGTCTACTGTTTACCATTATTCAACCCCGACACGATATGAAGAAAAAATATTCGCACAAAAAGATAATTAAGTTAACATGAAAAATGAACCTCAATAAGAGAGACAAATGCAGCCATCATCATGGCAAAGGCTTCACCAGCATCGAAAGAGGGAGCACCCCACTGAAAAGGGTAAGGTACTCTAATCCTGCATGTAAAAAACCCGATTGAATCATTATTGTTCGTTCTAATAGTCACGGTTAAAAGGATATTATATATTTAGCTGGATAGAGATTTATTTTTGAAAAAAGGTTAAAAGATGATTGCTAAAAATGCAGCTTTACCATGGAGCGGCACTAATAAGACCTGAACGATCAGTTCTACAGCTTGTCTGAGTCTTTGGAGGCTTTCCGTTGTAGGCCCCACCAACAGTAAGTAGATGGGCGTAAATCCACACGATCACAACAGTAAATATAACAGCAAAACGGTCAAAGATATTCTTCCCGGGACGTATCAGGTGAGCCAAATACTGCAAAAAACAGGAAAAATGTATTCTTTTTAACCGAGTGTGAATGCTTCAGTAATAACAAAGCTAACATGGGAATGTATAATATCTTTGATTTATCAATAAATTGATATTAGTTATTTTAACTAAATGGGTGGTTTAAAATGTGTCACCTGAGAGAACAAAACCAGGAGGATAAGCTGTGGCAACCCAATTTCAATGCATTTGGCAACCTAAACAATTGCAATAGAAAAAGATTATATCAATTTAATTTTTGAAAAAAATTGAAGAGAGATGAAAAGAGATCGAGAGCTGCACTTACCCCAGGAAAACCGAACTCATAAAGCCCAAAACCAGCAAGAGCAACCAATGGAACAGCTGAAAGTGGACTCAGAAATCTGCATCATTGAACATAAATCCCAAAATGAGACAAAAACGTTAACTATAACATTTTGGTACAAAATGAGATACTTTAGTTGAATTTTATTTTATCAACAAGCTAACGAACAAATAGCACTCTCAACGACAAACAGCATTAAGAAAGTGACCTTCAGGCATCATTACATGGGAATATATTACAGTTGTAAGAAACGACACAGCTCTTTGACAATAGATCTAGATAAAAACTAAGGCACTCATATCCAAAACGGGAGTAGAGAAAAACCTTGCAACATTACGCCACAAGCCACTAAAACCGAGCACAATTTGAATGGTTGATGCCACGATAAGTGCACCTTGGCTGGCCCTCATGATCTTCTTGAACCTCTGCATGATTTAATTATATTAAAATTTAAAAGAAACAGATATGCATATATATATATTCGGAGGTTTTACCATATAAAACCAACATATAACCCTTTCTGAAGTTTTAGAAGTTAGCTCATGTGTGTTTGTATGAATTTTAACTGCAGCACGCTTGTAACCCGTGTAGCACAATCTAAGGCATGAAAAATTGCTCTACAAGAACCTTAATTAGTGTTGTTAAAGCTAGAAGAAGAAGGGGTTATGATATAGTTAGATTGAAATTCAGAATACTTTTAGTTAAAATTGAAATAGTTCAGCCCTTGTAGGAACATGACAACCAAGACAAAAACATACAAAATAAGTGCAATCAATGAAACCTCATAAACTAAGAAAGTACAATAGTAATAGTAAAAAAAACAAATATCACACACCGATGTGGGATCCGGATCACTCCATCTACCGGACAAGATAATTGAAATTGTGGGTGCAACAAATGTGTATGAACCCCCAATGACGGCAGGCAATCTTGTTCCAAACCATGTCTGCAAAAGGGTGTTCAAACCAGCAACAAACAACAGAGTCTGAATAACCTTAGCTTTCTCCTCCTGAACATAAGGAAAACAGCAAGTGTGACAATTGAATGAGAAAATAGAAATAGAATCAGAAAATTATAATTTTAATGGCTCACATTTCCTCCCCCCATTTGAGGAACGAGGGCAGTGGGTATTATGACGGTGGTTCCCAGCATCACGAGATAGTGTTGAAATCCAAGAAGGATAGCTTCAGCTGTAAAAACGCAGACACAAAATGTCATAGGAGTTTAGAAAAGACTCCACTACACAGCCTACATTTGAAGAACTTAATGTGGCATTAAAATGAATACAAAATAACGATAATAACAAAATACGCTTACATAAAAAGAAACGAGTATATTTAAATTTTAACACACATCATAGTAACATCACAGCACAAATGACGATTAACACACAGCATGATAAAAACAAGGCCGTGAAGTAGAGGTGTATAAAATCAGATGTGCATTATCTATTATTGACAATTCTCACTCGATAATAGCTGGAAAGTACAACAAGCCCCTCAAATATACAAGGACCTGAATTGTAACCGAGCATACTCAAATATTAAGTATTTAAATCCTTATAAGGAAATTGGGACTCTGTTCATCACACACCATCTTAAGAACTTCTTTTAGAAACACAAATGGAAAGTAGGGGGACAAGAATAATCTGGAAAACTATGAGAAGAATCAGAAAAAGGTATCACATGAATCAGAACAATTCAAGATGCTAATTGACCAAAGAAAGATGGTATAAGGTATAAATTTGCATAACAAGGCTCCAAATAAATGTTTTGCAAACACTTCCAACCAAAACCTGAAAAGGAATTTACTCCAGGAATATACACACATAATGTGTAAAGGGACTAATAGGCTTTCGCTTTCGCGTCTCTCTAAAATTGCAGTCATGGTAAAATCTTGGTTTATTTAATCATCAGGATCGACAAACTTATTATTTCCCCAGCTGAAAAGGAGAAGAGAACAACAGGGCTTAATGAATCCATAACCATTTCTAATAGAATCTGAAAAGAACAACAAGAAAAATATACTGAACACTAAAAAGAAAAAAGTGGAAATTTATCTAAGGACTAACGCCATGGAGGAGGGCTTGTAATGCAGTAAGAAACATTTGGGAGCTGATCTTTTGGTGGGTGTGGCGCTGGTTCATCTGCCTTTGCTGAACCTCCACCTCCTGCCATTCTTTTTTTCTCTTATTTTTCTAGCTTCAATTTCTGAAAAAAATGAAAAGAAAAATGAGAATAGAGAGATTTCTTCAAGATTTACATTATAAGTCTCGCATAGTACAATGCAAAAACGCCCAAATCTGCAAATAGCTCAATATCAAAACCCCCCCAAAAAAAAGAAGTGACCAATTTTTCATTGTTAAAAAACGCTGCAGATACATTACAGAAGATAAGATTAAAGACCCCAAAAAAAAAAAAA